TATAATTTTTCGATGTTCAACTTTTTGAGTTTTAGATTTTCATCTCTTCTGGGTTCTCAATTTTTCGATTTCTCAACTTGTTGACTTTTCGACTTCTCGATTTCTAGATCTTTAGATTTTTCGGTTTTTTGATATTTCAATTTTTCCACTTTCCGAATTTTTATTTTTTAAATTTTTCATCTTTTTGATTTCTCAATTTTTCGATTTTTGGAATTTCCGGTTTTAAATTTCTCGATTTTTCAAATTTTCGGTTTTCCAATTTTTTATTTTTTTTATTTATCGAGATTTGGATATTTCGATGTTCTGATTGTTTAGTTTTGATTTTTAATTTTCGATTTTTCGGCTTCCCGATGTCTCGAAGTTTCAGTTTCTGAATCTTTCTATGTCTCAATTTTTCGATTTCTAGGTTTTCCCCCATTTCGATTTTCTAATTTTTCAATCTTCAACTTTTCAGTTTTTGGATTTTCGCCTCTTTTGGCGTGAATTTTTCGACTTTCGACTTCCAGGTTTTAGATTTCTTTAAATTTTTCAATGTTTAACTTTCCTTTTGGCTTCTCAATGTTTCGATTTTTAAAATTCTTGACTTATTTCTCGATTGTTTGATTTTTTGATTTCTTGATATTTCAATTTTTCAACGTTTGGAGTTTTTAAATTTTAGATGTTTCATCTTTTTGATGTTTCGATTTTCGACCTCCGGGTTTTAGATTCTTTTTTTATTTTTGTCAATGTTTTACTTTTTCGCTTTTTGAATTTTTTAATTTCCCAATGTATCGAAATTTGGATGTTTCGATGTTTTGATTATTCAAAATCTCGATTTATCAATTTTTCGACTTTTCGACTTCCCGATTTCTTGTTCTTCTGATCTTTCTGTAGTTCGATTTTTCGATTTCTAGGTTTATCGATTTTTTAATTTTCGCATTTTAGTGTAATTTTTCCATGTTTAACTTTTCAATTTTTGGATTTTTGCCACTTTTGGCTTGAATTTTTGGATATTTGACTTATCGGTTTTAGATTTTTTCTAATTTTTCAATGATTGACTTTTCGATTTTTGGATTTTCGCCTCTTTTGGCTTCTCAAATTTTCAATTGACTTTCGATTTCTCGATTTTTCAATTTTTTATTTTCTCGATCGAGATTTGGATATTTCGATGTTTTAATTGTTCAGTTTTCGATTTTTAATTTTCGATTTCTCGGTGTTTCAGTTTTTGAATCTTTCGATGTTTCGATTTTTCGCTTTCTAGGTTTTTCGCCTGTTCTATTTTCTAATTTTTCAATGTTTAACTTTTCAATTTTTGGATTTTGGTCTCTTTTGGCGTGAATTTTTCGATTTTCGACTTCCAGGTTTCAGATTTTTTTAAATTTTTCGATGTTTAACTTTTCGATTTTTGGATTTTAGCTTCTCAAGGTTTCGATTTTTAAAATTCTTGAGTTATTTCTCGATTTTTTGATTTCTTGATATTTCAATTTTTCAACGTTTGAAGTTTTTAAATTTTTCAATGTTCAACTTTTCAATTTTTGGATTTTTGCCACTTTTGGCTTGAATTTTTGGATATTTGACTTCCTGGTTTTAGATTTTTTCTAATTTTTCAATGTTTAACTTTTCGATTTTTGGATTTTCGCCTCTTTTGGCTTCTCAAATTTTCAATTCTTGACTTTCGATTTCTCGATTTTTAAATTTTTTATTTTCTCGATTTTTTGAGATTTGTATATTTCGATGTTTTGATTGTTCAGTTTTCGATTTTTAATTTTCGATTTCCCGGTGTTTCAGTTTTTAAATCTTTTGATGTTTCGATTTTTCGCTTTCTAGGTTTTTCGCCTTTTCGATTTTCGAATTTTTCAATGTTTAACGTTTAAATTTTTGGATTTTTTTAATTTTTCAGTGTTTAACTTTCCGATTTTTGGATTTTCGCCTTTATTAGCTTCTCAATGTTTCGATTTTTAAAATTCTTGACTTTCGATTTCTCGATTTTTTGATTTTTCTATTTCTTGCTATTTCAATTTTTCAGAGTTCCGAATTTATAAATTTTACATTTTTCAATATTTTGATGTTTCAATTTCTCAGTCTTTCGAGTTTTCGACTTCCCGGTTTTGGATTTTTTGTTATTTAATTTTTCGTTTTTTGAAATTGTATAGTTTTCGGTTTTTCGGCTTTTCCATAGTACAATTTTTCAATTTTTAACTTTTCGATTTTCGCAAATTTCGATTTTTCAGTTTCGATTCTTCCTTTTTAAAATTTTCGAATTTTGGATTTTCTTTTTTTTAATCTCTCAATTTTTTATCTTTTCAATTTTTTGATTTCTCGGTTTATCGAGATTTGGATGTTTCCATGTTTTCTTGCTTTACCAATTTTGGCCTATTTTGGTTTCTCAATTTTTCGATTTCTCGACTTCTTCATTTCGCGATATTCCAATTTTTCTATGTTTCGTTTTTTGTTTTAATTTTGGCGTTTCGATTTTTCAAAATTTCGGTTTTTAAATTTTCGAATGTTTCAATTTATCAATTTTTTGATATTTCGATTTCTCAATGTTTCCATTTATCAGTTCTCCGATATTTCTTTCAATTTTTCGATTTTTTAAATTTTACATTTTTCAATTATTCAATTTTTGGGTTTTACAATTTTTCAAAATTTTGGACTTTTCGAATTTTAGAACTATCAGGACAGGTCAATATCAAGTCAGGTCTAGTCAGATGGGTCAAGCAAAATCAAGTCGCTACTCTGACAATAATAACTTAAAAGAAATCTATTTATTTAAACGAATGTAACCCTGAAGAACAGAAAATGGTGTTCGAAACGTAGAGCGTCCTCATCATATAAACCGAAACACCGATAACTCCACACAGATTCAACATTCCTCCATCCACTCTGTTTCACAGTCGTTTAACTTCATAAAGCCCGATTTTCGGAACTCACTCACCGACTTTATTTCCAAAATCCAAATTCCAGACGCCACTTCTTCACAAAGAAACCCTCAAGACTCCGACAACCACAACAATTCGCCTGCATTTCCAATTAGAATTGACACAGCTTTCATGTTCGAAATTGATATTGCAGCGTTACCTGCTGGCATTATTCCGGTAGTGATTCAGTTCGCTATTCGTACAAACTCGATTTAGTTAGTTGAGAGTGGCACTGTAGAATATGAGAAGCCTGTCCCAATGCATTCCGGACCGGCTCTTCAATGTTGTACGAACTTCGCAGCGGTCAAAGGTGCCAACTTCATGCCAATAACGTGCAGTTAGAGAGTTGGAATGCACAAAGAGGTATTGTTATGTAACATTTATGTATCTGTTACGAGGCGGCGGCGTGGAGTGTTGTGAAACATTGAACATTAAAGCGACAGGTGTGTTAGGACATGCTAAACAAGGATAAGTTCGGAAGTTGGAAAATTACCTGAGTTGTATGCGATTCCAAAGAGAAAACGGAACGTGTAATATATCTGCAATGTTACGACTATTACGACTACTTAGCAAAGTTCTGAGGTGACGTCATCAAGATTTTGGAAGGGATTTATTATAAAAAACCTGAAGTTAAAGTGTGAGTTTAGTGTAAGTCATCAAACGTCTATAAATTTTCCACTGCTGGAAAAATCGTAAACAACTTCTATCACCCGAGCACGCTGAGGCAGAACTAAACTGACAAGACAAAGATTTTCGTCTCCATAATGACAGTTTTTTTGCACGGTAACAGCGAATTTATGAAACCGAACGCCCACTAAATGTTTCCATCGGTTGACTGAAATGGGAAAACGCTGCTGGATTTTCCAGGTAGATGGTCAGCGTCGGTTGTTAATTGAAGTATTGAATGCAAGCGATGCAATTTGCATGCATCGGTATTATTCCTGAACAAAAGGACTTCAGGACTGAAGCTGGACGTGTAGTTTCATTATTTGCAAATTTAAGCGGATTTGACTAATAAAAAAGAACAGATATTGGCGGAGTCGGGCAGTAAAAGCTGTCTGATTCGCTATTATTGCTGAAATTAAAGTTAATTACAGATGGTGTAGTTAAATCGGGCTATTTTATTAGGTTCGTTTAGCTGAAATGCCGTGATCCGTTGTAATTACTTTTGCACGCAGTGCTACCAACACTGGGAAAGTAAAACACGCCATTTAAATTATTTCGGATTAATTTGGGTTTTTTTGGTTTTCTAGTCGGGATTCTATTATTAAGCGTTGATTGGGTTTAATTTTTGGATTTTTTCGGTGTGGTTAGACACGAAACGCGGTAAAGGTCAGAACTGTCATCACCAACTCGTGATCCGTTACTGTTATTAGCGAAATATAAAACTCCGGTTAAAATTGAGTCACAAGCGAGCTGAATCTACGACGTGCTCCGGCGGCCACGAATCGTCGAAATATTTAATCTCGCACTGTTTTTATTTGTCTCGGGGAGAACCTCCATAACTTCCTGAAACCTCCTTTATAAAATTCGAATTTCCGCTCTTTCAACGATTCGTTAAGATACAAAGGATATCAGTGACGTTGTACGACAAACGCCCAACATCAAACAGCTCAATCACACAGAGTATTTGGTCTGATGACAGAAACAGCCGCCGCACCGCCTGATAACAGAGAAATCCCGTTTGCGGTTTAGATAACCGGTAATTCGACAGTTCCACACTACGGCGAGCTTGCCTCTACCGAACTGCACATCTCGGGTTACGTTTTTAGAGCAAGTGAGTTTGGTTTGGAAATGTTGGAGAGTTTGTTTTGTAAAAGAGTGTTTTAGAATTGATGATTTATCAATTTTTCGTTTTTCCTCTTTCTTCGATTTTACAAGTTTTTGAAATCACAATTTTTTGTTTTTCGAGACTTCTAAATTTTTCAATTTTAAGTTTCTTCAATGTTTTGTTTTTTCCGTTTTTTCAATTACTGTATTTTAAGTTCTTTTAATTTTACAATTTCGCAATTTTTGGCAACTGTCAGTTATGCACGTTCGTTCCCACGGATGTGGGAAAGAGACGTGACAAGTGTATTATTAGAATACAGAAAAACGCAGTAATTTAAGATTAGATATTTTATTTAATATTGTGAATATACCTTACACTGGACGTAAACATATTGTGCGTTTATGGCTTTGACTTTACAGCCGACCCTTCATAAAACTTAGCAAATGCAAACTATGGCGCGTGTCAGGGATGGCCGAGACAATACTACTACCAGAAAAACTCTGTTCAGGTAGGTTAGCAGTAAGCGGGTCTAAAATATCCGGCTGTGACGCCCTATTGAATTATAATGGGATTTAAAATGGTGTGAAACCATAAACGCACAAAATGTTTACGTTCACAATACCATTGAATTAAAATTTTATATAAGTAAGTATAATTATACGAATATTTTTTACTTTATCTCATTTCATATAAAGCAAATTCTTTCAGGTAGTTGTGGACTGCTTCTACGAGAAACATGTATTGCTTCTGCAACAAAAATATACCATTTTATAGGTCATGACATTTTAAACTTTTATAATTTATTAAAATCTTATAGTCCAAAATTTGTGTAGACAACGACAATTTCTGAATCATCAAGATCCGTGTGTAAAAATTTTCGCTAATTTATCGATGGACAGCAATGTACAGTTGAAAACTACTTTTTTGCAAACTAGAAGTAATTCACTTGAAATTCGTCAAACCAGTCTGCGCTAATACCGACGTTTTCAGTTCCTGTGTTGCCAAATTATACGTACATTGTCCACAGCAAAGTTCTCAAAGTGACGCCGAAGCATTCTAACACTGCTACAAATATCGCACACGCCCTTGGTTTTGATTTTTTGAATGATATGCGTAAGAGCAATATATAAACCAGACGTAGTTACGTTTCCCCTAAAACGAAAAACACTAAAACGTAAACTCTAAACCACTTTCCTTTTACCAGTCAGTTATCAGCACAATTTCGACGTTTTTCAAAATCTCGTTAGAATCGCAAACAAAATTTATGAAATTCTCAGCCTTTGGCAAAGATGAGATTGCGGTCAGCCAGTTCTTTAAAGATATAACCTCAACAATTTGAGTTGCCTACAACAGAAAAAATTCACTTAATCCTGAAACTGGTGATCTTTCACCTTTACAATTGCAGTAGTCATTTTCACAGTTATCCAATCGTAACTTTTCAAGTTTCTTGTCATTTGATGCTCTAATTTGACGTCTGCGTTTATTTCTATCTCTGGGTGGTTTTCGTTAGGCCACAAGAAAATCTCTTTGTTAAGAGTCACAATTGCTGCCACACTTTCATCTTGTACTAGATTCAAAAGGTCGCACAATGGTCTCGCTTTAGGTTCATGCAACGCTATAAACTTTTTCTGAGTTTTAAAACCGTGAACTTTGACAATCTTGAACCGTTTCAAGAAAGAATCAGCGTCTTCAGAAGTGCAAGGAGCGGGGAGCAATTCGTCTGCACTTTCTGAAAAGAAATAGTTAAAATTTACAATTATGTTACAGTCGACGTACCTGGACGGATCGCTTGACTGTAGCGCTCATCGTCATCGTATTTTATTCGATCTAACCACTCAGTATCTCTCAGATAATGAAGATGCTTCTGGATTTCAGCCTTGTCGAAAAGTTTTTCTTTGTTAACGTCGAACTCGTTGCACTTTATGGTCGTGTCAATGTAACGAAGACAATCGGCGATGACGGTGTGAGCCGCTAAGTAGTGGTCGAAATCGACCATCAACTCCGACGTGTACTGTGTGAGGTTTTTGAGATTTGCCATCACATCTACTGCTCCGTCTTTCGTGGCTGTCCTCAAGGACATGTCACAAAGCAGAACGAAACCGACCCCCCTCATTCCTGAACTGTAATCCAAAATTTTCTTAAAGAACACTTTAAGCGCACTTTATAACAAACCTGCTGTGGACCAGAATCGGTGATTGGCAAGAATGTGGAATTTTGCTCATTTTTTGGAAAAAGTTTACATAATTAAGGGAGAATAAATTAAATCCGTCGTCTAACTCTAGGCGGAAATGTAGTTGCTCGATCTAGAACATTAAGAGTGAACGAAAATAATCGAATTTCCGGGTAATAATAACCTGTCGAGATTTGTTTTTAAATCGTATGGTAAATTTGTTGTGGTTAAACAAGTGATGAGCTTCCGACGTAGTACATTGTACAGTGACATCACCATAGACGTTTTTGCCTTCGGTGGGCCAGCATAGTTTAACGTCGGACTGTAATTATTAAATTCAGTGTGTTTGTGACGTTATTTTATAAATCTCACTCTATCGTTTGTGTGGTTGTCTTCAAACAATACAATGTAGCAAATATTCTCCGTCCATATTGTTTTCCAAAATTCGTCGTACTCATTAGAAGTCGGTATTTTGGTGACAGCGTAAGTTTTATTAATTTGAAGACCCTACAAAAATGTTGGTAGATTTTGAAAATGAAAGTAAATCATCTTTACGCTAATATAAATCATGTCGACATATTCGACGAAGTCTGTCGTAACTTGAACAGTCTCGTAGGTGCAAATGGATTCTAGAATTGCCTATAATAAAAGTGGTTGACGCCAGATTAAAGAAAAACTTTAGATAATTTGTTGATTATGCTATATTAATTTCGAAATGTACCTCATGTTGTTGCTTCAAATCCTGATTGTCGAGAGACATTTTAGTATAATTTTGGAAATTTTTACGTTCAATGATTTTTGAAAGATGGTCTAGGTTTCCAGTAACAGCGTTTATCTGAAAGTGTTAATTGTGGGTAGATCTGATCGTCATTTAAAACAACTTACATGTTGAGATTTGTTGCATTTTCGTCTATTTTGTTTTGTGTCCACTAAAGGTAACTCGATTGTTTGACGATCTGCTCTAGTGTCTAAGAACAAAGAAATATAAGATTAATGTAAGTATTAAAAATGAAAAACATACTGGGGCTAACTGTAGGCACTGCAAGAAAAAGTCTAGAAACAATAACTTAGTTTTGTCAAGTTTCTCTTGTTGTAAATTTTATAACTGTTTTATTTTTCTCTTACCTGATGTACGATTTCTCCATGAAAATCCGACATCCTTCTTTGTGTACCATTTACTATAAAAATAAACAACCTGAAAGCTGTTTTCACTTGTATACAAAAGTTAAGAAAAGCTGATTTGCTTGGTTCATTTTTGAAGTTAAATATTACAAATTTTGCGAAGCAAACTTATTTACTTGAAATCAAAAATACTTACAATCCAAAGAATATCACTACCAGTACTAGAATTAATAGCACAGGCGGCCAGTAGTAGTTAGGATTTACAACGACTCGTTTCATCTTCTCCACTGGGTTATACGTGTATATGGTAGTCCTACTCTCATTTTCGAAAAAATTTTGCAAAACGATCGTGATGTTGCCAGTAATTTCTGCCTTCAGAGAAGAATTTTCCTTGTCTTTGCATCTGGGATGCTGTTGAAGACTTCCAACATATATTTCTAATGTTTCTGATATCTGTGAAAGATCACACTCCACAATGACTTTCAAGTTTTTCAGTTCATACTCTTGTAGGCTTGGATATAGTTCGAGATTGCTTTGTTTGTCTGATCTTAGAACTAATAGTTGGTAGGTGTGGGTATATCCCCGGACTTTGTTCGGTAAAACCAAAATTTTAAGTAAACCATTTGAAATGACGAATTCGGGGTCGTCTGATAACTTTGGGACGTCAAGTGGACTCGTTGTCATCTGTTGTGCTGAATCTCCATCTTCCCCGTTAAATGCATAGACCGCTACTGTGTATTCAGTTGTTGGAGAGAGTAGTGAACCGTCAAACTTTTGTGAACACATAAATTCGATGAATGTCGTACTTCGATATACAGTTATACCTACCAGATGGTGATACGTTAAATTGTATGTTTCTCTCGAGACGTTTAACTTTTGTTCATCAATTATTTCGTTTTGGACAGTAGTCGAATGAATGACTTGAATGCCAAAGTAAGATACCTCACCATTTGTTTCATTTGGATGTTTCCATACTACCTGAATGTCGTTTTTTGTGGTCCAGTTAAGCATTAAGTCATACGGAGGCTTGGATTTCTCTACGAAGTGTTCATTAGGAAAACAGAGTTTAGACATGACATAATTTTGGTACCAGTTTTGACATAGGTTTGAATTTCCTTGGGTGGACTATAATCCTCCACAGCTTCGTTTCTTGCATAAACCTGTAAGCGTCAGAATAAAATGTAGGTAACCGTTTTGGGTATTTCGATACTGCTTACTTTAATTCTCAGATGTGCATTCTGGATTCTGGATTCTTAATTTATGGGGGCTGACCGTAGCCAGCCGGCACTTAGGCCTCGCCTTTGGGCCCATTGTACCTTCCCCAAGTCCATATCAGGGTGTTTTCCCGCTCCTCTACTCGTCAAGCCACCCAACTGCTTGAATGTACTTGAGTAATGCAGAGGGTGGAAACTCCCTGATATTTGCCATACTAGGCCAGATGTCCCCTAGTATGGATTCCCTGTAGGAGGCTAGGGCTGGACACTCACGAAGAATGTGCTCAGCTGTTTCCTCTTCTTCATTGCATCCACGACAGATTGGGTCTGTTACCACCCCTATCGTATGTAGATGTTTGTTAAACTGGTAATGTCCCGTAAGGAATCCTACCAGTTTACGCAGTTTGTCCCTTGAAAGTGAGAGATAAAATTTTGTTAACTTACGGTCTGGTGTCGCCATACAAGCTCTACTATGCCGACAGCTGCTCAACTTCACCCATATCTGCTCATGGCATCTCTGGGTATATTGCTTTACGAGTTCGTTCGAGAGGGCGACCGAAGGCGTGATTGCCGGTTCGGGTCCCCAGAAGGGCATGCGCGCGGCTCGCTTCGCCATCTCATCTGCCCTCTCGTTTCCTTCGTTGCCACTGTGTCTTTTGATCCAACAAAGTTCCACACTATTCCTCTGCGTTACATACTTTAGCGTTTGTCTGCACTCCCAAACCAGCCCGGACCGAACCATACAGCTGTCCAAGGCTAGTAGTGCAGACTTGCTGTCAGTAAGTATGCGTATTGATTTGTTGCCGATTTCACGTTCAGCAATGATTCTAGCTCCCAGCATTATTCCCATCAGTTCTGTTTGTAAGACAGACGTGTGGGTGCCGAGAGGTACACTGATTTGTGCGTTCAGTTGTTCGGAGTAGATGCCGGCTCCTGAACCACTATCTGTTTTGGCACCATCGACATAGATATCTATGTCGGCTCGTCCTTCTGAATTATCATTCATTGATATGCTATATGTCTTCTCATATATTAATTTTGTGCCCATTCGGTCACAACCCATCCTTAACAAGGGTATTCTGTTGAACGCCTCCGTTAAGATCCGAGTGTGCTTCGTTGTGCGGCCTTGCTTGTTCCATACTCCCAGAGAGTGAAGTCTTAGAGACGTCGTCATTGCCGCTTCCTCTATGTAAAGGTTAAGAGGTGCTAAGCAGAGAAGAGTCTCCAGAGCCGCTCTGGGAGTGGTCCTCATTGCTCCTGTAACACTGAGACACGCCATTCTCTGAACGTGTTCAAGTTGCAGGGCTCAGATATGCATTAGATGGCAAGTCGGTTAATGTTGCACAATGAAGTTCATGCCACAGCTTGCATCGTCTAATTACGATAACTAAAATAATTAATTTTGTAGTTCTTTAAAACACCAGTACGTGGATAAGGCGGTTTCCACCTTAACGAAATGGACGATGCATTTTTTGGTGTAGACAAGTAAATTCGAGACGGACTTTGATACTGTTAAAAGTGATTAGATTTTATCATAATATTTTATAAAATTTGTAAGTTACCTGTTGTCTTTGTTTCGAATTTTTTCTTTTGTGGTGCACTACAACTTCCATTTACGCGACATAGCTGAACTTGTAGATCATATTCTGAAAAGGATTGTAGATTCATAACTTCAATGATGCCAGTCTTGGGGAGCGTTTTATTGTCGATTTTACGTTGTGTATTTTTATTTTGACACCATTCGCTGATACATGTAGTCTTTATTTCCACTGTAAGTGGGCCTCGAATGTTTTCACATTTTATTTCAGACAGTATGATGCTTGCACTCTCATGTGTAGTGTTTATGCCGACGATGTTGGGTGTTTCTTCTGGTTGGATTGTCTGACAATAAGGTGTTGTTGTTCTTTGAGAAACAGGTGGTCCAGTGAATTTTGTGTTTAAGGCAAACACAGTAAATTCGTACGTTGAATAAGGAATCAATTCGGTGATTGTTACGGAAGTATTTTCTGTTTCTCGACGAGATATCGTTGACGATTCAACAGAAGAAAAATGACAACCTCGGTAAAACACATGCTGAAAATTGTGATTCTGAACGTCTTATCTGATTGTTTATCAAACTAAATATTTACTTGGTATTCTACAACATAGTGTTTAAAAACACCATTTATGGACAACGGTTCGGCCCATTTTAAAACTATAGTCGTAGCGGACGCAGCGGTGCCCGTAAGACTCAAAACAACAGTGGGTGCTAAAATTAATTTTCAAACTAAAAATAATCACATAATAAGCTAATACGATTTTAATACCTTCTTCGTCGGTTGTAAATTTTTTTTCGTATGTTTTTTGTATACCTCTAACTCTAACCATGTAACTTTTATATGGTAGCAGATTAGTGAAAAAAGTACCGCTCCTGTTTGAAAAATCAGCACCTTTTTCATCTAACGTTATGAAATGCGATTTACAAGTAAGTGTAGTACCCTTACGAATAAAATAATGATTTTCACTTTGTAACGATTTCTATAAACCTGAAGTACTTACCTCCGATAAATATATTCTTGCAGTAGTCTTGGATGTTTCAATATTGATATCATCTTCGGCAATTTCTATAAAATTAATTGCGTACTTCAAAACATTGCGGTAACAAAAAAAGTACTTACCGTTGCATCTTGTTGTAAAGTTATTAACTTTTAAATGATCATACATATTCCACACTCCGTTTGGTCCTATGATAACACTTCGAACAAGATACTGTGTTCCTGATGTCAAATTAAGAATTTTAAAAATTCCAGTGGTGTTGAATTCGTGGTACTGATCACTCACTTTTCTCCAGTTGATATCCAAAGCGTCGGCCGTCTAAAAAATTGAGTTTTTCAGATAAATATTTAAAAAAATAAAATTACAACTTTGTATTGCACTGTGTAATATTGTGCTATATGGTAAAATACAGAATTTTTAAGTTGGAAGTTTGAGACTCTGACGGTAGCTTCTGTGTACGAGATTTCAGTTATTTCTGGAGAATTCGCAAACATTGCTGGTGCTGTATTATATCGAGAGAGAAAGAAGGTTATTTATTTTTATTCCTGTGCATTATATTTTAACATACGTATATCGCATTTTTCACCATAGTAGTTTTCAAGACATCTATCTGAACACGTTCCGGTCACACTGTTACAGTAACCATAGCATTTTGTACATTGTTTTTGACACCCATGACCGTATGTCTTGCTTGGACAACCTAAAATCATTAACCGATATTAATATTGGAGAAATATTGTTGTAATATTTATTATTACTATTACGACACTCTGAACCATAGTAACCAGCGGAACAAACGCACTTCCGCTCTTTGCAAACTTTGAAGATTTTATGGAAGTAACTCATCCAGTGACATGGTACACAAAATTCCCCAATCGTATCTTCTGAACACTTGCTCTTAAGGTTGGGTTGAGCTTGGCCCTCAATATCAGTAACTTGTTCAGAATCAGATATCAATTGACACGATACCCACTTCGATAATAATCGCAGCATTCGAAATTCTAATAATAAGTACATTAGTTAATAATAATTATCTTATACGTTTCTGGTTGTTTGATTTTTACCTTTTTTTTGACAAAATCTGACTTTATCGATCGCCCAATAAGGTTTTGGATCTGAACTTTTAGTAGTTACTAATAATTTTATTGCGTTTGAAGTGTTGGCGTTTTCAGTCATAATTTTAATTTGGTCCCAACCTGCGTGCTAAATCGTTTTGTTGGCAATCAGTTCTGCATTTTTGCAAACTGTTCCCGTCATAACTTCTTGGACATCAAATATCCGTCAATGTCAAAAAGTCATTGTAGTTTAAGCTTAACTGTCACTGATTTTCTTAAAAGTCATCTTGTTTGAAATGCCACCCATAAGCTGCAAAGTCAGAATAATATCGTTGGTAGAAGGTGGTATGTCTTACCGGCAAATTGCAGCACTCTTAAGTAAGATTGTCTGTTCTTGATAATCTCCATAAGTCGTCACACTTTGTGAAGGATTATCAGAGCAAAACGAAAAATAAGGTTAGTAAGTAATAAGGGTCGGTTTACATTTATGTCAAATATGAGACATAGATGTCCAAAAAGTTATGACGGGAAATGTATTTAATGCGAGCTGAGAAAGCAAGGTATCATTAGACTTGGTACAAGACATCTAAAGTTAAAAATGTAACATGTGGTTTGACATAATATTGCAGTACTGCACTCTAGATAATACAATAGGTGCCAATATGTTTTGGGAGATACGAATTATATTAATGGTTTTGAACCGTCAGTGCGATCTAAAATTGGTAACTTTTTCTGTTATATCTTATAAACTTATCATCGTGTAGCAGCATATACAATATATATATATATATATATATATTCGTTTTTCAATTATTTTTGCTTAAAATTTGACAATAAGCAGTACAGTTCGAAAAGTTGGTTATTTTGTGGGATTAGTTTCGCACAAAATGTAGTTTCTTAAATCTCGTTAAAGATGTTAGCTCTTTGACGAATGTTTTGATGTACTGCTACATTATGTCAAATCACCCATTGATATTTTCACTTTGACCATTTTGTTTTAAAATTTAATAAAAATTTTAAAAGTTGCTTAAGTTAAGTCCAATACTGCATATGCATACAAGAATACTTTATCACAAACATGGAAAGTCACGAAACAAACGAATAAAGCAAAAGTTACTCTAACCTGTTTACATCCTAAATACATACTTTGAGTTCGAATTCTTCCGTTTTTAAAACATGTTGCCCGTCCTCTAAAGACAGTACCAATTTACAAGAAGGACACATCGTGACGTACATCGAAATGCATACAAATGTATCTGCACTAGAAATAGGAGGCCCTAAATTAACATCGCTACTTGCAGCATCCGCATAAAGAAAATCAACTGAAAATATGTAAGTATTAGTCTTCTATCTAAGCACTGATTTATTTTTCCTTAACTTACGGTTATGAATCTTCCATAGACCATTGTTTCTTTTGCTATGGACTATAATATGCGTAACGTCTATGGGAATATCGTAATCTTCCCATTCCATTATTAGTTTTTCTTTTTGATGACTAAACTGACTAAATCTCAATACATTTTTATGTTTGGACATAACAAAATGTGACCACATTTTGTTAGAGAGATAAGTAGGGACAATGTTATGCTAAACATAAACCATGCAAGTGTAACAAAAATAGAAAATTTGAAATGCATACGTTTTTGTATACTCTTTGTTCGTTGCAAGGTGCTTGAGGCAATTTTCCATCTTCTGAAGGGATGTATCCTTTTTCGCATTTTCGTATTGCACTGCCCATTCCACTGAACGCTTGCAGCATGAACCAGTAGCAACGGGAGTTCGGTGGATATTCGCCATCGCAAAGAAATATGTGACCTTCTTTTTCGATTCTGATGGAAAGGGGAATATCGAAACTCTCTTTCTTTAGAACTATGTTTTGAAAGTGTTGGTATAGTAATTTATCAGAACTTAATTCCACGTATTCCGTTTTGATCACGTTCATAGCTGCATTTGCAATAGTAAGAACATATATTATATTTTTTTGTTTGAATGTATTATTTTGGAATACCTTCCCATCTTTCGTCTAAAATTGGGTGGTTAAAGTTGGACTGGATCGAAGTCTGCAGCCGCCAAGGGTGTTTCATGAAATATATTGTGGTATTTTCGTCGTCTGTGATGTCACAATTCATTTCGCCATTTGGTTGTTCTGGTATATATTTTGAAACTACAATAAAAACGTGTTTAATATAGCAGTTTTCTGACAATATATATAAAGTGGTGGTCACTTAAAAAATATTAAATAAAATTTTGATAGCGTATTTTAAATGAAACGTCTGGTCCAAGCAATATTAGCATATTTTGTCGTATACTGAAGTATTTCTTTAAGCTACAAATGTTCTCTTGAGACCCCAAAAATAATATATCTTTGTTTTGCGCTACCAAGTTTCTCTGTAATATCTTCTTGAATCCAACTTAATGCAAAAGAACTGTTCGTTACACAATAATAATAGTGGTAGTAGTAGGTGTTGTAGCCCCACCATCTCGTCGCCAAAAAGTAACTGCTCTGACAAATCGATATAGTCATATAAAGACCCACTAAACCATACAAAACTCTAAAACAGTGCAACGCTCTCATTAATTTTTATAAAAACTTACAACAGGACCAACCTTTTTGTCGACATATTTAAAAACAGTAATCACACACACGCGGTTTAGCACATTCCATTGAAAACATTAATATTAATTTGCCCGTTTGAGATATCCTGGGGAACTGATAACAGCACTTATTCCCAAATTATCGTGCTACCGTAACGGTTATTTACATTATGAGTGCGGTAAGTAACATTTTACAGGCGAGGTTTTAATTTTGAAGCACGACGCGCAGCGGAGTGTTTTAATAAAACCGAGCCCTGTTAATATTACAAGGACTTTAACCCACCAAGTTTTCAAATTCTTGTGGGTCGAGCAACCAAATTTTTTGTTAAGGTGGAACGAAATGCAATGCATGACTTTAAAAATAACACACGAGGTGTCAAAAAATAAAACTTTTCCTCTAGGGGTAGTTAAGAGTCATTACATTATACGAGGATGAGATGGTAACAGGTTAGCCTAGTTAAAACGACTGAGTTTATCTTCCTGAAATCGATTTTATTTGAAAAAAAAAAAAAATATCCGCAATTTTCTCCAGGTTACGAAATCGTATTTATCTTCCCAGTATTTGGTCTAGGGTTTGGTAAAAGATTATAATTTATCTAATAAGTTCGAAGCAAAATCACTTAGTTTGATTAATTCTTAACGTCTTAGGGTATCAAAATATTTAAACAGGTGTGTAAACTTTTTTAAAATACATTCAATAACAAAATTTCTTCACCGACTTTACCAATTTTATTCATAAAGGTAAATTTTCTACACTTTGGTAAAAGATTATAATTTATCTAATCAGTTTGAAGAAAGATTTCTGTGTTTAAATATACCTTAACATCTTGGTTTATGTAATAGTTATTTACATTATGAGCGCGGTAGGTGAAATTTTACAAGCGAGATTTTAATTTTGAAGCGGAGTGCTTTAATAAAACCCAGCCCGTTAAAATGCCCTAACGCACAAATAATGTATTAAATTTTTTATCCGACCTATTTTTTTACTTATACTAATCTTTCAATTTCAAACCCTACGAAATTGTAATTTGGTATCGAGTACGCTGCTTTAAACAATTTTCCAGTAGGCGTTGCGTTAAAATATTTGCTGCGAAAAAGAACGTCAAAATATTTTTTTGACATTTCGCTTTTCTAACTAAAATTTTCTTCATTTCTCAAATATTCTGTTGAACAAAAACTTGCGTAAATAGCATTTCTGCAGGTACCCTTTATTATTTAAAAGTTTCTTCAAAATCCTTGAACCAAAAATCAAAAATAAAAATTTTTCTTCCTGACTCTCTACCAACTTTATTCATAAATTGACCATTCATATACGAAACTTTCTGAGGTTTACGATTTGGTGTTGATTCTTTTTATATAATTTTTGCATTGAGATTACAAAAAAAAGTTGTTTTCAGGCAACCCCCAAAGTTTGCCTAAACTTTCCAAATAGAAGTAATTTAATTTGATGTAAAAATATGCAAAAATTGCAAAAAACATCAAAACTACTGGTTGATCGAAGCTCAAAACAACAAAACAGTCATTTTCAGAACACTTGGTGGTTGCGTACGAAAATTTTGTGTTTGTGCTACGAGGCGAAGACTATGAAAATGGTTTATTCTGTTGAACAAGACACTTTCATCGTTATGTCTTGTCGTAATGGCACTTCTTAAACGAAGAATCTGTGTATTCTGTAACCGTTTGTAAGCAAGAATATCTGGCCAAATATCTTGATTTAATAATTCAAGAAACATCGTTAAAGGCTCACATTAGAGTTGTAATCAACAGATTTGTTCGAACTGGCAGTGCCAACAAAAAGAACTCTCGTGGATGATTTTAAGTATCTGGGGAATGACTTGAGACGACTTGAGCAGAATTGAACAATTTAACAACGGGTCCAAAGTATTGACGAAAGGATGTTACAGAACATTTTTGAAATTAAAAAAGAGTCAACATGTGTCTTGAACAGAATGATGAACATTTTCAACATTTACTGTGATGTTTAACCGCAATAAATTTGTTTCTTTTTATAGTAATGAATTACTTAGTTTTATTTTTTAAAAACATTTATAATTTTCTTACAGATATAATGATTACATTATCTCTTTTCATATAAACTAAATTCCTTCAGGTAGTTGTGGGCCGCTTCTACTAGAAACACGTAATGCTTCTGCAACAAAAAAAGCACACATTACTTGTTTAGTTAAAACAAAAGGATACAAAAAACTTTAACAATTTTTTTAAATCTTATAATTCTAATAATTTATACGTACTTTGTTCACAACAAAATTCTCAGAGTGACGTCGAAGCATTCTAACACTGCCACAAATATCGTATATCCCCTTAGTTTTAATTTTTTGAATGACGTACGTAAGAGCAATATATAAACCAGACGTAGTTAAGTTTCCCCTAAAACGAAAACCATTAAAACGTAAACAATAAACAATTTTCCTTTTACCCCTCTGCAATCAGCACCATTTCGACGTTTTTAAAAATCTCGTCAGATTCGTGAACAAAATTTATGAAATTCTCAGCCTTTGGCAAAGATGGGATCGGCGTCAACAAGTTCTTCAAATATATTACTTCAACAATTTGAGTTGCCTAAAACAAAAAAAAAATCACTTAACCCTGAAACTAGTGATCTTCAATATTTACAGTTGCAGTGGTCACTTTCACAGTTATCCAATCGCAACTTTTCAAGAGTCTTGTCATTTGATGCTCTAATTTGACGTCTCTGTTTATTTCTATCACAGGGTGGTTTTCGTTAGGCCACAAGAAAATCTCTTTGTTAAGAGTCACAATTGCTGCCACACTTTCATCTTGTACTAAATTCAAAAGTTCGCACAAGGGTCTCCCTTTAGGTTCATACAACACTATAAACTTTTTCTGAGTTTTAAAACCGTAAACTTTGACAATCTTGAACCGTTTCAATAAAGAATCAGCGTCTCCAGAAGTGCAAGGAGCGGGGAGCAATTCGTCTGCACTTTCCGAAAACAAATAGTTAAAATTTGCAATTATGTTACACTCGACGTACCTGGACGGATCGCTTGAGCGTAGCGCTCGTCGTCATCGTATTTAATTCGATCTAACCACTCAGTATCCTGCAGATAATGAAGATGCTTCTGGATTTCAGCCTTGTCGAAAAGTTTTTCTTTGTTAACGTCGAACTCGTTGCACTTTATGGTCGTGTCAATGTAGCGAAGACAATCGGCGATGACGGTGTGAGCCGCTACGTAGTGGTCGAAATCCACCATCAACTCCGAAGTGTACTGTGTGAGGTTTTTGAGATTTGCCATCACATCTACTGCTCCGTCTTTCGTGGCTGTCCTCAAAGACATGTCACAAAGCAGAACGAAACCGACCCCTCTCATTCCCGAACTGTAATCCAAAATTTTCTTAAAGAACACTTTAAGCGCACTTTATAACAAACCTGCTGTGGACCAGAATCGGTGATTCGCAAGAATGAGGAATTTTGCTCATTTTTTGAAAAAAGTTTACGTAATTAAGGGAGAATAAATAAAATCCGTCGTCTGACTCTAGGCGGAAATGTAGTTGCTCGATCTAGAACATTAACAGTGAACGAAAATAATCGAATTTCCGGGTAATAACCTGTCGAGATTTGTTTTTAAATTGTATGGTAAATTTATTGTGGTTAAACAAGTGATGATCTTCAGACGTAGTACACTGTACGGTGACATCACCATAGACGTTTTTGCCTTCGGTGGGCCAGTATAGTTTAACGTCGGACTGCAATTATTAAATTCAGTGTGTTTGTGATGTTATTTTATAAATCTCACTTTGTCCTTTGTGTGGATGTCTTCAAACAATACAATGTAGCAAATATTCTCCGTCCATATTGCTTTCCAAAATTCGTCGTATTCATTAGAAGTCGGTATTTTGGTGAAAGCGTAAGTTTTATTAATTTGAAGACCCTACAAAAATTTTGGTAGATTTTGAAAATGAAAGCAAATCATCTTTACGCTAATATAAATCATGTCGACATATTCGACGGAGTCTGTCGTAACTTGAACAGTCTCGTAGGTGCAAATGGATTCTAGAATTGCCTATAATAAAAGTGGTTGACGCCAGATTAAAGAAAAACTTTAGGTAATTTGTTGATTATGCTAGATTAATTTCGAAATGTACCTCATGTTGTTGCTTCAAACCCTGATTGTCAAGAGACATTTTAGTATAATTTTGGAAATTTTTACGTTCAATGATTTTTGAAAGATGGTCTAGGTGTCCACTAACAGCTTTTATCTGAAAGTGTTAATTGTGGGTAGATCTGATCGTCATTAAAAACAACTTACATGTTGAGATTTGTTGCATTTTCGTCTATTTTGTTTTGTGTCCACTAAAGGTAACTCGATTGTTTGACGATCCGCTCTACTGTCTAAGAACAAAGAAATAGAAGATTAATGTAAGTATAAAAAATGAAAAACAAACTGGGGCTAACTGGAGGCACTGTAAGAAAAAATCTAGAAACAATAATTTAGTTTTGTCAAGTTAATCTTGTTGTAAATTTTATAACTGTTTTATTTTTCTCTTACCTGATGTATGATTTATGCATGAAAATCCGAGATCCTTCTTTGTGTACCATTTACTATAAAAATAAACAACCTGAAAGCTGTTGGCACTAGTATACAAAAGTTAAGAAAAACTGATTTGCTTGGTTCACTTTTGAACTCAAATATTACAAACTTAGCGAAGCAAACTTATTTACTTGAAATCAAAAATACTTACCATGCAAAGAATATCACTACCAGTACTAGAATTAATAGCACAGGCGGCCAATAGTAGTTAGGATTTACAACGACTCGCTTCATCTTCTCCACTGGGTTATACGTGTATATGGTAGTCCTACTCTCATTTTCGAAAAAATTTTGCAAAACGATTGTGATGTTGTCAGTAGTTTCTGGTTTCAGAAAAGAATTATCCTTCTCTTTGCAACTGGGATGCTGTTGAAGACTTCCAACATATATTTCTAACGTTTCTGTTATCTGTAAAAGGTCACACTCCACAATGACTTTCAAGTTTTTCAGTTCATACTCTTCTAAGCTTGGATATAATTCGAGATTGCTTTGTTTGTCTGATCTTAGAACTAATAGTTGGTAGGTGTGGGTATATCCCCGGACTTTGTTCGGTAAAACCAGAATTTTAAGTAAACCATTTGAAATGACGAATTCGGGGTCGTCTGATAACTTTGGGACGTCAACTGGACTCGTTGTCATCTGTTGTGCTGAATCTCCATCTTCCCCGTTAAATGCATAGACTGCTACTGTGTATTCAGTTGTTGGAGAGAGTAGTGAACCGTCAAACTTTTGTGAACACATAAATTCAATGAAGGTCGTACTTCGATATAGAGTTGTACCTACCAGGTAGTGATAGGTCAAATTGTATGTTTCTCGCGACACGTTTAACTTTTGTTCATCAATTATTTTCTTTTGGTCAGTAGTCGAATCAATGACTTGAATTCCAAAGTAAGATACCTCTCCATTTGTTTCATTTGGATGTTTCCATACTACCTGCATGTTGTTTTTTGTAGTCCAGTTAAGCATTAAGTTATACGGAGGCTTGGATTTCTCTACGAAGTGTTTGTTCATTAGGAAAACAGAATTTTGACATGACATAATTTTGGTACCAGTTTTGACGTAGGTTTGAATTTCTTTGGGTGGACTATAATCCTTCACAGCTTTGTTTATTGCATAAACCTGTAACCGTCAGAATAAAATGTAGGAAACTGTTTTGGGTACTTCAATATTGCGTACTTTAATTGTAAGATCTGCATTTGATGGTAAGTCATTTAATATTGCACAATGAAGCTCAGGCCACAGCCTGCACCGTCTGATTTGCATTTCCTCTTCCACTTTTTTACGATAAATAAAATAATTAATTTTATAGTTCTTTAAAACACCAGTAGGCGGATAAGGCGGTTTCCACCTTAATGAAACGGACGACGCATTTTTGGTGTAGACAAGTAAATTCGAGACGGACTTCGATACTGTTAAAAATGATTAGATTTTATCATAATATTTTTAAAATTTGTAAGTGACCTGTTGTCTTTGTTTCGAATTTTTTCTTTTGTGGTGCACTACAACTTCCATTTACGCGACATAGCTTAACTTCTAGATCATATTCTGAAAAGGATTGCAGATTTATAACTTCAATGATGCCAGTCTTGGGGAGAGTTTTAATATCGATTTTACGTTGTGTATTTTTATTTTGACACCATTCGCTGATACATGTAGTCTTTATTTCCACTGTAAGTGGGCCTCGAATGCTTTCACATTTTATTTCAGACAGTACGATGCTTGCACTCTCATGTGTAGTGTTTATGCGGACGATGTTGGGTGTTTCTTCTGGTTGGATTGTCCGACAATAAGGTGTTGTTGTTCTTTGAGAAACAGGTGATCCACTAAATTTGGTGTTTAAGGCAAACACGGTAAATTCATATGTTGAATAAGGAATCAGTTCGGTGATCGTAACGGAAGTGTCTTGTGTTTCTCGCCGAGATTTCCTTGACGATTCAAAAGAAGTAAAATTACAATCCATATAAGACACATACTGAAAATTTTATTTCTGAGCGTTTTATCTGATTATTTATCAAACTGTTTACTTGGTATTCTATAACATAGTGTTTAAAAACACCATTTATGGAGAACGGTTCGACCCATTTTAAAAGTACAGTCGTAGCGGACATAGCCGTCACCGTAAGATTCATAACAGAAGTGGGTACTAAAATTAATTTTCAAACTTCTACAACTGAAAATAATCACATATTAAAGTAATACGTTTTTATTACCTCTTTCGTCGGTTGCAAATTTTTTTTCGTAGGTTTTTTGTATGCCTCTAACTCTGACCGTGTAACTTTTGTATGGCAACAGATCAGTGTAAAAAGTACCGCTCCTGTTTGAAAAAACAGCACCTCGTTCTTCTACCGTTATGAAATACGATTTACAGGTAAGTGTAGTACCCTTACGAATAACATAATTATTTTCACTTTGTAACGACTCCTATCAACTTGAAGTAGGTACTTACCTCCGATAAATATATTCTTGCAGTAGTCTTGGATGTTTCAATATTAATATCATCCTCGGAAATTTCTACAAAATTAATTGCCTACTTCAAAACATTGCGGCAACAAAAAAAGTACTTACCGTCGCATCTTGTTGCAAAGTTATTAACTTTTAAATGATCATTAATATTCCACTTTCCGTTTGGTCCCACAATAACACTTCGAACAAGATACTGTGTTCCTGATGTCAAATTAAGAATTTTAAAAATTCCAGTGCTGTTGAATTCGTGGTATTGATCACTCACGTTTCTCCAGTTGATATCCGAAGCGTCGGCTGTCTAAAAGATGGAGTTTTTCAGATAAATATTAAAAAAAATAAAATTACAACTTTGTATTGCACTGTGTAATATTGTGTTATGGGGTAAGATGCAGAATTTTCAAGTTGGAAGTTTGAGACTCTGACGATAGCTTCTGTGTACAAGATTTCAGTTATTTCTGGAGGATTCGCAAATATTGCTGGTGCTGTATTATATCGAAAGAGAAAGAAGGTTATTTATTTTTATTCCTGTGCATAATATTTTAACATACGTATATCGCATTTTTTACCATAGTAGTTTTTGAGACATCCATATGGACACGTTCCAGTCGCCTTGTTACACTCATACTTGCAGTTTGTACATTGTTTTTGACACCCATGACCGTAAGTCTTCCTTGCACATCCTAAAATCATTAACCGATATTAATATTGGAGAAATATTATTGTAATATTTATTATTACTATAACGACACTCTGAACCAGAGTAACCAGCGGAACAAACGCACTTCCGCTCTTGGCAAACTTTTAAGTATTCACAGTTGTAAGTCACCCAGTGACATGGTACACAAAATTCCCCAATCGTATCTTCTGGACACTTGCTGTTAAGGTTGGGTTGAGATTGGCCCTTAAGATCAGTAACTCCTTCGGAATCAGATATTAATTGACACGATACCCTCTCGCTTAATTTCAACATTCGAAATTCTAATAATATGTAAATTAGTTAATAATAATTATCTTATACAATTCTGGTTGTTTGATTTTTACCTTTTTCTCTACATAATCTGACTTTATCGATCGCCCAATAAGGTTTTGGGTCTGAACTTTTAGTAGTTATTGATAATTTTATTGCGTTTGAAGTGTTGGCGTTCTCAGTCATAATTTTAATTTGGTCCCAACCTGAATGCTAAATTGTTTTGTGGGCAATCAGTTCTGCATTTTGGCATACTTTTCCCGTCATAACTTCTTGGACATCAAATATCCACCCATGTCAAAAAGTCATTGTAGTGTAAACCTAACTATCACTGATTTTCTTAAAGTCATATTGTTTGAAATGCCACCTATAAGCTGTAAAGTCAGAATAATATCGTTGGTAGAAGGTCGTATGCCTTACCGGCAAATTGCAGCACTTTTGAGTAAGATTGTCTGTTCTTGATAATCTTCATAAGTCGTCACACTTTGTGAAGGATTATCAAAGCAAAACAAAAAATAAAGTTAGTAAGTACTAAGGGTCGGTTTACATTTATGACAAATGAGACATGGGTGTCCAAAAAGTTATGAAGGGAAATGTATTTATTGCAAGCTGAGAAAGCAAGGTATCATTAGATTTGGTACAAGACGATTAAAGTTAAAAACATAGCCAGTGGTTTGACATACTACTGCAGTACTGCAGTCTAGATAATACAATATGTGGCCAATATCTTTTGGGAGATACGAATTATATTAATAGTTTTGAACCGTCAGTGCGATCTAAAATTTGTAACTTTTTCTGTTATAGCTTATAAAGTTATCATCATGTAGCAGTATATACAATATATACAGGGTGTTAGGGAATGCTTGCAACAAAATTTGAAGGTAGCCTCCTGATGAAGAGAACAACAAAAAATGCTAGTAACACTTTTTTCAAAGGTTAATAGTTTTTTCTAAAAAGCATATCGAAAAATCAGTCCCCACATTTTGAGAACTGCCGACGTTGTCTTTTTTTTTCTAAGGTAGTTGTGAAAATTCTGGAACTAAGATGATTATTTCCTTAGAAACGATTAAATCTAATTTGTCAAAAATTGACAAAAATGTCACATTTACATCAATACAATAAACACCTTTGAGTTTTAAAATGTTTGATTCGGACGTTTAACGAAATAGACGCGGTTCCGACACGCTAATAAGAGTACCAACGTGGTTGTTAACGGAAATTTCAGAAAACACCACAAACGGCCTCTGAAAACCTGCAGTGATACCAGAAAGAGGGGGTTTTGCGTTTTCCCCTGAAAAAAATCCCGAAGGAAAACACTAGAAAGATTAGAAAAATCTATCTTTCAGCAGTGTGGTAAATGAAATGTTGAAATAGTTCGTCAACTCAAGCGCAATAGCGCTCCCAGTTGATCTAATACTACGGCAAAAAGGGACAACTCATGGCACCCAACCTCGTGATAAAACTCGCTCCACCCAAGATTCGGAGGAGTCTGTAGGACCTAAGTTCGTCGGTCCATATTTCCGAGTCCGGTCTGATCACTCGCCTAATGTGGTCCATTAATGTAGCAGCGGAACGGTTGGGAATGTAGGACAACTAACTCCGCTTGTTGATCGTTCGTATACCACTCGTTATGAAAATTGCAACAAAATAATTTGCCGCTTGTAGGTAAAAATCCGAACTTATACAATGTACATGAGGCTCCTGGGCAAGAACAAGATGAGCAAATAATCCCGGCGCAAGCCGTGTACTCGAAAGTGAACCGTAGCAAGGAACACTTACTACTGAAATGACAGAAAAACTCATTTTATATGCACTTTCATTTGCCCTTTGTACGATAACTGTCGGGTTTCCTGCCAATTCCCTCATATTAAACTGTGTTTACTATCCCCTTTGCAATGGAAGTGATTTCATTATTGATAATAAAAAGGTACCCTTAGAGTACTGAAATCATAGAACGCTTAAGGTATTTTCTTTGTTACTCCTTAATGGTTAACCATATACTAAATGTTCTTGTTTTTAAGAATTTTTTTAGTATTAGGAAATAAAAAAAGATCCTAGAAATAGTCTAAGCAGTTGAAATATTCTCAAAAATCAGGTAAAAATTGGTGTTAAACACTGCTTAGCACTCCAACGTCCAACATTATCTTTTTATTTTTCGATTGTCCAGCAATTATCTTTTCTTAATAAATTTATATTCTACTTTTGCTTTGCGGAAAAAGGTAGAATACATAGTTTATTAACAAATACAAGAAATGTATTGTATAAGTTATAAACTTTGTTCAAAATCTTCCAACGATTTTAAAATTTAAACCAATTTGTTAAATACAATTTTTAACACAAAGAAAAATAACCTTTAATTATAATAAATAAACAAAACGAATAAGCGAAAATAAAAAACAAAAAACGCAAAACAAAACAAGTAAATTAAAGCAGATGTTGGAAGTGAGCACCATTTGTACGAATACAAGCTTCTTCTCTCCTGAGTAATGAGTTACTGACTCTATTTAATTCTTCAGGATCGTTTCGAATCCGTTCTGCGGCCATCATAACTCTTGCTTCTAAATCTTCTAAATTATTAACTGGAGTTCGATAAACAATTGATTTCATATAACCCCATAAGTAGTAATCACAACTGTTAAGATCGGGAGAACGGGGTGGCCAAGCGATGGGTCCACCTCTTCCAATCCATCTCTCACCATAAACATTCGTCAGGAATTGTCGCACTTGTAAACTAAAATGCGCAGGAGCACCATCGTGCATAAAGTACATCCTTCGTCGAATGTCTAAAGGTACATCTTCCAATAACAATGGCAAATGTGTTTCCAAAAAATGAAAGTAATTGTCTCCGTTCAGTCTTTCCGATAGAACATATGGTCCTATCATTTGATTACTTATTATTCCGGCCCAAATGTTTAATGAAAAACGTTGTTGAAAGTGCGTCTCGTAAATCGCGTGAGGATTGGCATCTGCCCAGCGGTGAGTATTATGAAAATTAAGTATTCCATCCCTAGTAAAACAGCATTCATCTGTCATCAGTATGGAAGAAAGAAATCCGGGAATTTCATTATTGCTGTTCACTATCCATCGGCAAAAGTTTTGTCTAGGAATGAAATCGTTCGGACTTAAATTCTGGACCCGCTGGAGGTGGTACGGGTACAAAAGAGATTCGCGTAGCGTTCTCCACACAGTCCAGTGACTAACACCTACTTCTCGAGCAATTTCACGCGTACTAGCTGACGGGTCTTCTTCAACACGATTGATAATGTGCTCTTCAATGTTGACCATATCTGGATCTCGACCTCGTCCAATCTCCTGATTTTTAGGTAAAACTGATCCTGTCTCCCGCAACCTTCTATCCACGGCTGAAAAGGTTTCGCGATACGGTTGTCGACGCCCAGGAAAACGTTCAGCATACCGTCTTGCTGCAGCTCTAGCATTGCCTCACCATAAACAAAATGCATGTCTACATATTCTTCTATGCTGTATTCTGGCATTTTTTCTCAATGAGTATTACTGACAATGACAGTTATAAATCTAACAATAATATTTGAAACAATTTGAACAATGTTAGTGTATCTCGGTAACTAAGCAACGATGCTTTTTTTTAACGATTCCCTTGATAGATAGAAAGCAAATTGCCATTCCTAATTCGTTGCTAAGTAACAATAGAAATTTTAATAATGGAACGTATTATTGAAAAATTGGCCTCCATGCAGTTCCAAAACGGTGTGATACTTATTTTTAAGGGGATTTAAAAGAAAAACTATACATTTTTGAAAAAAGTTGTACATAGATTTTAGATTTCTTTTTTTGTAATGCCTTTGCTCTGAAAGTTTGTTGCAAGCATTTCCTAACACCCTGTATATATATAGGTTTTTCAAATATTTTTGCTTAAAATTTGACAACAAGCAGTACAGTTTGAAAAGTTACTTATTTTGTGCGATCAGTTTCGCACAAAATGTAGCTTCTTAAATCTCGTTAAAGATGTTACCTCTTTGAGGATTGTTTTGATGTACTGCTACATTATGTCAAATCTCTCATTGTTTTTTCACTTCGACCATTTTGTTTTAAAATTTAATAAAACTTTAAAAAGTTGCTTAAGTTAAGTCCGATACTGCATGTGTATAGAAGAAGACTTTATTACAAACAAGGAAAGTCACGAAACAAAGAATAAAGCAAAAGTTACTCTAACCTGTTTACATCCTAAATACGTACTTTGAGTTCGAAGTCTTCCGTTTTTAAAACATGTTGCCCGTCCTCTAAAGATAGTACCAATTTACAAGAAGGGCACATCGTGACGTACATTGAAATGCATACAAATGTATCTGCCCTAAATATAGGAGGCCCTAAATTAACATCGCTACTTGCAGCATCCGCATAAAGAAAATCAACTGAAAACATGTATGTATTAGTCTTCTATGTAAGCACAGACTTATTTTTTCATAACTTACGGTTATGAATCTTCCATAGACCTTTGTTTATTTTGCTATGGACTATAATATGTGTAACGTCTATGGGAATATCGTAATCTTCCCATTCCATTATTAGTTGTTCTTTTTGATTACTAAACTGACTAAATCTCAGTACATTTTTATGTTTGGACAAAACAAAATGTGACCACATTTTGTTAGAGAGATAAGTAGGGACAACGGTATGCTAAACATAAACCATGCAAGTGTAAGAAAAATAGAAAATTTGAAATGCATACGTTTTTGTATACTCTTTGTTCATTGCAAGGTGTTTGAGGCAATTTTCCATCTTCTGAAGGGATGTATCCTTTTTCGCATTTTCGTATTGCACTGCCCATTCCACCGAAAGCTTGCAGCATGAACCAGTAGCAACGGGAGTTCGGTGGATATTCACCGTCGCAAAGAAATATGTGACCTTCTTTTTGGATCCTGATGGAAAGGGGAATATCGAAGCTCTCTTTCTTTAGAACTATGTTTTGAAAGTGTTGGTAGAGTAATTTATCAGAACTTAATTCCACGTATTCCGTTCTGATCACGTCCATAGCTACATTTGCAAAAGTAAGAACATATATTATATTTTTTTGTTTGAATGTATTATTTTGGAATACCTTCCCATCTTTCGTCTAAAATTGGGTGGTTAAAGTTGGACTGCATCGAAGTCTGCAGCCGCCAAGGGTGTTTCATGAAATATTTTCTGGTAATTTCGTCGTCTCGGATGTCATAATTCCTTTCGCCATTTCGTTGTTCTGGTATATATTTTGAAACTACAATAAAAACGTGTTTAATGACCAGTTTTCTAACAATATATCTAAAGTGGAAGTCACTTAAAAAATATTAAATACAATTGTAATAGCGTATTTTAAATGTAACGTCTGGTCTAAGCAATATTAGCATATTTTGTCATATACTGAAGTATTTCATTAAGCTACAAATGTTCTCTTGAGCCCCCAAAAATAATATCTCTTTGTTTTGCGCTACCATAGTCAAGTTTCCCTGTCATATCTTCATGAATCCAACTTAATGCAAAAGAACTGTTCGTTACACAATAATAATAGTAGTGGTTGTAGCCCCACTGTGTCCTCGCCAAAAAGTAACTGCTCTGACAAATCGATATAGTCATATAAAGACCCACTAAACCATACAAAACTCTAAAACAGTGCAACGCTCTCATTAATTTTTATAAAAACTTACAACAGGACCAACCTTTTTGTCGACATATTTAAACACAGTAATCACACACACGCTGTTTAGCACATTCCGTTGAAAAAATGAATATTAATTTGTAGAGAGCGGATTTCTGTCGGGCTACGTCACGATTATTAGGTGGGGACGCGTGAATCGCTGTGAATCAGTAGCGGGTAATAATCAGTGCATTTAATTTTCACTTATTCCATAAATACAATTCACGAAACCTTAATTCGTAAAACAGCTAGGTAAATGAGAACGGGAATTAACAGCAAAGTACAACGAAGCACCGTTATTTTATTCGAAAATAGACGAAGTGCAGCTAGTAACTGTTCTGAATTCCCATCCCGCACGAGCCGTACCGAGTTTGGCCTTGCCAAGCCCGACAGAAATCCGCTGTCTATTAATTTGCCCGTTTGAGATATCCTGGTGAACTGATAACAGCACTTATTCCCAGATTATCGTGTTACGGTAACAGTTATTTACATTATGAGTGCGGTAGGTAACATTTTACAGGCGAGGCTTTAATTTTGAAGCACGACGCGCAGCATAGTGCTTTAATAAAACCGAGCGCTGTAAAATGCCCTAAAGCACAAATAATGTATTAAATTTTTTGTCGGACCTATTTTTATACCTATACTAATCTTACAAATTCAAACCCTGCGAAACTATAACTCGGTATCGCTGCTTTAAACAATTTTACAGTAGGCATTGACAGTTCGCTTTTCTAACTAAAATTTTCTTCGTTTCTCAAATATTCTGTTGAACAAAAACTTGCGTAAATTGTATTTTTGCATGAAGCCTTTGTTATTTGTAGAACAATTTATTTTTTAAAAGCCTCTTACACATAAAAAATTCCGAGTTATTTTACCTCACCGCGATGTGATTAATCAATGAATCACTGTAAAATCGCAGTTACTGGATACATCAGACACTTATGAATGATCTCTTTGCAGATCGGGGAGCCAAAAAATAACTTATCATCTTAAACAAAATTAATATTTAAACGATTTTTTTTAAGCCACCAAGTTTTCAAATTTGTTCTTGTGGATCGAGCAACCAAATTTTCTGTTAGGTGGAACAAAGTGCAATGCATCACATTAAAAATAACACACGAAAAATTAAAATTTTCCTCTAGGGGCAGTTAAGAGTCATAACAATATACGAGGATGACATGGTAACAGGTTAGCCTAGTTAAAACGACTGAGTTTATCTTTCTGAAATCGATTTTATTTGAAAATGAAAAAAAAAAAATTATCCGCAATTTTTTCAAGGTTACGAAATTGTGTTAATCCCCAATATTTGGTATAGGATTTGGTGGTAAAAGATTATAATTTATCTAATCAGGTTGTCTGTAATCTCTTTTAAAATACATTCGTTCATGTAAACATGTCTTCAAAATCCTTGACTCAAAAATCAATAAGAATAGTTATTTACATTATGAGTGTGGTAGGTGAAATTTTGCAAGCGAAGTTTTAATTTTGAGGGCCGACGCGCAGCGGAGTGCTTTAATAAAACCGCCCCCTTTAAAATGCCCTAACGCTCAAATAATGATTTAAATTTTTTATCTGACCTATTTTTAACTTATACCTACTAATCTTTCAAATTCAAACCCTACGAAATTGTAACTTAGTATCGAGTACGCTGCTTTAAACAATTTTCCAGTAGGCGTTGCGTTAAAATATTTGCAGCGAAAAAGAACGTCAAAATATTTTCTTGACATTTCGCTTTTCTAACTAAAATTTTCTTCATTTCTCAAATATTCTGTTGGACAAAAACTTGCGTAAATAGCATTTCTGCAGGTATCCTTTATTATTTAAAAGTGTCTTCAAAATCCTTGAACCAAAAATCAAAAATTCAAATTTTTCTTCCCGACTGTCTACCAACTTTATTCATAAACTGACCATTCATATACGAAATTTTCTGAGGTTTACGATTTCGTGCTGATTTTTTTTTATAATTTTTGCATTGAGATTACAAAAAAAAATTGTTTTCAGGCAACCCTCAAATTATGCCTAATCTTTCCAAATAAGAGTAATTTAAATTGATGTGAAAATGTGCAAAAATCGGAACAAATATCAAAACTACAACTACTCGTAGTTTAAAAAAAGGCAGTTTGTAAAATACTTTTGTCTTTAATACAGGCTGACTTTTATAAATGATTCTAAGGGCGTAGTTGGCCATGGATTTCAAAAATTCCGCCTCGCTGAAATTATGCCCGTGATTATGCATCATTATGACAGTTCTCACTTGTCACATTGATGTCTAATGTCATTTGTAACCTGTCATTTAAACTCGCCGTTTTTATTGTTTTAATGTTTTTCAATTGCGATTTACAGTCATTTTCAGAACTCTTGGTGGTTGCGTACGAAAATTTTATTTTTGTGCTACGAAGCGAAGACTATGAAAATGGTTTATTCTGTTGAACAAGACACTTTCATCGTTATGTCTTGTTGTCGCAATGGGACGTCTTAAACGAAGAATGGGTGCATTCTGTAACCGCTTGTAAACAAGAATATCTGGCAAAACATCGTGATTTAATAATTCAAGAAACATCGTTAAAGGCTCACATTAGAGATGTAAACAACAGACTTGTTCGAACTGGCAGTGCCAACAAAAAGAGCTCTCGTGGATGATTTTAAGTATCTGGGAAATGACCTGAGACAACTTGAGCAGAATTGAACAATTGAACAACGGGTCCAAAGTATCGACGAAAGGATGTTACAGAACATTTTTGAAATTAAAAAGACAGCCAACATGTGCCTAGAAGAGAATGATGAAAATTTTCAACATTTACTGTGATGTTTAACGGCAATAAATTTGTTTCTTTTTATCGCAATGAATTGCTTAGTTTTATTTTTTAAAAACATTTATAATTTTCTTACAGATATAATAATTACATTATCTCATTTCATATAAATTAAATTCTTTCAGGTAGTTGTGGGCCGCTTCTACTAAAAACATGTAATGCCTCTGCAACAAAAAAAAAACACATTAGTTGTTTAGTTAAAACAAAAGAATACAAAAAACATTTTTTTTAATTTTTATAATTATAATAATTTATACGTACTTTGTTCACAACAAAATTCTCAAAGTGACGTCGAAGCATTCTAACACTGCCACAAATATCGCACACGCCCTTGGTTTTGATCTTTTGAATGATACACGTAAGAGTAATATATAAACCAGACGTAGTTACGTTTCCCCTAAAACGAAAAACACTAAAACGTAAACCCTAAACCACTTTCCTTTTACCTACCAGTCAGTAATCAGCACAATTTCGACGTTTTTACAAATCTCGTTAGATTCGCCAACAAAATTTATGAAATTCTGAGCCTTTGGCAAAGATGGTGTCGGCGTCAGCCAGTTCTTCAAAGATATAACTTCAACAATTTGTGTTGCCTACAACAGAAAAAAATCACTTAACCTTGAAACGGGTGATCTTCCATATTTACAGTTGCAGTGGTCACTTTCACAGTTATCCAATCGCAACTTTTCAAGTTTCTTGTCATTTGATGCTCTAATTTGACGTCTGCGTTTATTTCTATCACGGGGTGGTTTTCGTTAGGCCACAAGAAAATCTCGTTGTTAAGAGTCACAATTGCTGCCACACTTTCATCTTGTACTAGATTGAAAAGGTCGCACAAGGGTCTCGCTTTAGGTTCATGCAACACTATAAAATTTTTCTGAGTTTTAAAACCGTAAACTTTGACAATCTTGAACCGTTTCAAGAAAGAATCAGCGTCTCCAGAAGTGCAAGGAGCGGGGAGCAATTCGTCTGCACTTTCTGAAAAGAAATAGTTAAAATTTACAATTATGTTACACTCGACGTACCTGGACGGATCGCTTGAGTGAAGCGCTCATCGTCATCGTATTTTATTCGATCTAACCACTCAGTATCCTGCAGATAATAAAGATGCTCCTGGATTTCAGCCTCGTCGAAAAGTTTTTCTTTGTTAACGTCGAACTCGTTGCATTTTATGGTCGTGTCAATGTAACGAAGACAGTCCGCGATGACGGTGTGAGCCGCTACGTAGTGGTCGAAATCCACCATCAACTCCGAAGTGTACTGTGTGAGGTTTTTGAGATTTGCCATCACATCTACTGCTCCGTCTTTCGTGGCTGTCCTCAAAGACATGTCACAAAGCAGAACGAAACCAACCCCTCTCATTCCTGAACTGTAATCCAAAATTTTCTTAAAGAACACTTTAAGCGCAATTTATAACAAACCTGCTGTGGACCAGAATCGGTGATTCGCAAGAATGAGGAATTTTGCTCATTTTTTGGAAAAAGTTTACGTAATTAAGGGAGAGTAAATAAAATCCGTCGTCTGACTCTAGGCGGAAATGTAGTTGCTCGATCTAGAACATTAAGAGTGAACGAAAATAATCGAATTTCCGGGTAATAACCTGTCGAGATTTGTTTTTAAATTGTATGCTAAATTTATTGTGGTTAAACAAGTGATGATCATCCGACGTAGTAAACTGTACGGTGACATCACCATAGACGTTTTTGCCTTCGGTGGGCCAGTATAGTTTAACGTCGGACTGTAATTATTAAATTCAGTGTGTTTGTGATGTTATTTTATAAATCTCACTCTGTCGTTTGTGTGGTTGTTTTCAAACAATACAATGTAGCGAATATTCTCCGTCCATATTGTTTCCCAAAATGCGTCGTACTCATTAGAAGTCGGTATTTTGGTGACAGCGTAAGTTTTATTAATTTGAAGACCCTACAAAAATTTTGGTAGATTTTGAAAATGAAAGCAAATCATCTTTACGCTAATATAAATCATGTCGACATATTCGACGGAGTCTGTCGTAACTTGAACAGTCTCGTAGGTGCAAATGAATTCTAGAATTGCCTATAATAAAAGTGGTTGACGCCAGATTAAAGAAAAACTTTAGATAATTTGTTGATTATGCTATATTAATTTCGAAATGTACCTCATGTTGTTGCTTCAAATCGTGATTGTCGAGAGACATTTTAGTATAATTTTGGAAATTTTTACGTCCAATGATTTTTGAAAGATGGTCTGGGTTTCCACTAACTGCTTTTATCTGAAAGTGTTAATTGTGGGTAGATCTGATCGTCATTTAAAACAACTTACATGTTGAGATTTCTTGCATTTTTGTCTATTTTGTTTTGTGTACACTAAAGGTAACTCGATTGTTTGACGATCTGCTCTACTGTCTAAGAACAAAGAAATAGAAGATTAATGTAAGTATAAAAAATGAAAAACAAACTGGAGCTAACTGTAGGTACTGTAAGAAAAAGTCTAGAAACAATAATTTAGTTTTGTCAAGTTACTCTTGTTGTAAATTTTATAACTGTTTTATTTTTCTCTTACCTGATGTATGATTTCTCCATGAAAATCCGACATCCTTCTTTGTGTACCATTTACTATAAAAATAGTATACAAAAGCTAAGAAAAACTGATTTGCTTGGTTCACTTTTGAACTCAAATTTTACAAACTTTGCCAAGCAAACTTATTAACTTAAAATCAAAAATACTTACAATACAAAGAATATCACTACCAGTACTAGAATTAATAGCACAGGCGGCCAATAGTAGTTAGGATTTACAACGACTCGCTTCATCTTCTCCACTGGGTTATACGTGTATATGGTAGTCCTACTCTCATTTTTGAAAAAATTTTGCAAAACGATCGTGATGTTGCCAGTAATTTCTGCCTTCAGAGAAGAATTATCCTTGTCCTTGCAACTGGGCTGCTGTTGAAGACTTCCAACATATATTTCTAACGTTTCTGGTATCTGTGAAAGGTCACACTCCACAATGACTTTCAAGTTTTTCAGTTCATACTCTTGTAAGCTAGGATATAGTTCGAGATTGCTTTGTTTGTCTGATCTTAGAACTAAGAGTTGGTAGGTGTGGGTATATCCCCGGACTTTGTTCGGTAAAACCAAAATTTTAAGTAAACCATTTGAAATGACGAATTCGGGGTCGTCTGATAACTTTGGGACGTCAAGTGGACTCGTTGTCATCTGTTGTGCTGAATCTCCATCTTCCCCGTTAAATGCATAGACCGCTACTGTGTATTCGGTTGTTGGAGAGAGTAGTGAACCGTCAAACTTTTGTGAACACATAAATTCAATGAAAGTTGTACTTCGATATAGAGTTGTACCTACCAGGTAGTGATAAGTCAAATTGTATGTTTCTCGCGACACGTTTACCTTTTGTTCATCAATTATTTCCTTTTGGTCAGTAGTCGAATCAATGACTTGAATTCCAAAGTAAGATACCTCACCATTTGTTTCATTTGGATGTTTCCATACTACCTGAATGTCGTTTTTTGTAGTCCAGTTAAGCATTAAGTTATACGGAGGCTTGGATTTCTCTACGAAGTGTTCATTAGGAAAACAGAATTTGTACATGACATAATTTTGGTACCAGTTTTGACGTAGGTTTGAATTTCTTTGGGTGGACTATAATCCTCCACAGCATTGTTTATTGCATAAACCTGGAACCGTCAGAATAAAATGTAGGTAACTGTTTTGGGTACTTCAATACTGCTTACTTTAATTGTAAGATCTGCATTTGATGGTAAGTCATTTAATATTGCACAATGAAGCTCAGGCCACAGCTTACACCGTCTAATTTGCACTTCCTCTTCCACTTTTTTACGATAACTAAAATAATTAATTTTGTAGTTCTTTAAAACACCAGTAGGTGGATAAGGCGGTTTCCACCTTAACGAAACGGACGACGCATTTTTGGTGTAGACAAGTAAATTCGAGACGGACTTCGACACTGTTAAAAATGACTAGATTTTATCATAATATTTTATAAAATTTGTAAGTTACCTGTTGTCTTTGTTTCGAATTTTTTCTTTTGTGGTGCACTACAATTTCCATTTACGCGACATAGCTGAACTTCTAGATCATATTCTGAATAGGATTGTAGATTCATAACTTCAATGATGCCAGTCTTGGGGAGTGTTTTAATATCGATTTTACGTTGTGTATGCTTATTTTGACACCATTCGCTGATACATGTGGTCTTTATTTCAACTGTAAGTGGGCCTCGAATGTTTTCACATTTTATTTCAGACAGTACGATGTTTACACTATCATGCGTTGTGTTTAAGCCGACGAAGTTGAGTAATTCTTCTGGTTGGATCTCCTCAGAACTAGCTGTTGTTGTTATTTTAGAAAACGGTGGTCCACTGAATTTTGTGTTTAAAGCAAACACAGTAAATTCGTATGTTGAATAAGGAATCAGTTCGGTAATTGTTATGGAAGTATTTTCTGTTTCTCGACGAAATTTCGTTGTCGATTCAACAGAAGAAAAATTACAACCTCCGTAAGACACATGCTGAAAATTGTGTTTCTGAACGTCTTATCTGATTATTTATCAAACTAAATATTTACTTGGTATTCCACAACATAGTGTTTAAAAACACCATTTATGGACAACGGTTCGGTCCATTTTAAATCTACAGTCGTAGCGGACGCAGCGGTGCCCGTAAGACTCAAAACAACAGTGGGTGCTAAAATTAATTTTCAAACTGAAAATAATCACATAATAAACTAATACGATTTTAATACCTTTTTCGTCGGTTGCAAATTTTTTTTCGTATGTTTTCTGTATGCCTCTAACTATAACCTTGTAACTTTTATAGGGCAGCAAATTAGTCAAAAAAGTACCGCTCCTGTTTGAAAAACCAGCAGCACCTTCTTCATCTAACGTTATGAAATGCGATTTACAAGTAAGTGTAGTACCCTTACGAATAAAATAATTATTTTCACTTTGTAATGATTCCTATAAACCTGAAGTACTTACCTCCGATAAATATATTCTTGCAGTAGTCTTGGATGTTTCAATATTAATATCATCCTCGGAAATTTCTACAAAATTAATTGCGTACTTCAAAACATTGCGATAACAAAAAAAGTACTTACCGTCGCATCTTGTTGCAAAGTTATTAACTTTTAAATGATCATTAATATTCCACTTTCCGTTTGGTTCCATAATAACACTTTGAACAAGATACTGTGTTCCTAATGTCAAATTAAGAATTTTAAAAATTCCAGTGGTGTTGAATTTGTGGTATCGATCACCCACGTTTCTCCAGTTGATATCCGAAGCTTCGGCCGTCTAAAAAATTGAGTTTTCAGATCAATATTTTAAAAACTAAAATTACAACTTTGTATTGCACTGTGTAATATTGTGCTATGGGGTAAGATACAGAATTTTCAAGTTGGAAATTTGAGACTCTGACGGTAGCTTCTGTATACGAGATTTCAGTTATTTCTGGAGGATTCGCAAATGTTGCTGGTGCTGTTATATCGAGAGAGAAAGAAGGTTATTTATTTTTATTCCTGTGCATTTTATTTTAACATACGTATATCGCATTTTTCACCATAGTAGTTTTCACGACATCCACCAGGACACGTTCCGGTCACCCCGTTACAGTCATACTTGCAGTTTGTACATTGTTTTTGACACCCATGACCGTAAGTCTTGCGTGGACAAACTAAAATCATTAACCGATATTAATATTGGGGAAATATTGTTGTAATATTTATTGTTACATTGATAACAATCTGAACCTAAGTAACCAGAGGAACAAACGCACTTCCGCTCTTTGCAAACTTTTAAGTTATAACACGTTATAGACATCCAGAGACATGGTACACAAAATTCCCCAATCGTATCTTCTGGACACTTGCTGTTAAGGTTGGGTTGAGATTGGCCCTTAACATCAGTAACTTGTTCAGAATCAGATATCAATTGACACGATGCCCACGTTCGTGATTTCAGCATTCGAAATTCTAATAATAAGTATATTAGTTAATAATCATTATCTTATACAATTCTGGTTGTTTGATTTTTACCTTTTCTTTGACATAATCTGACTTTATCGATCGCCCAATAAGGTTTTGGGTCTGAACTTTTAGTAGATACTAATAACCTTATTGCGTTTGAAGTGTTGGCGTTTTCAGTCATAATTTTAATTTGGTCCCAACCTGCGTGCTAAATTGTTTTGTGGGCAATCAGTTCTGCATTTTAGCATACTCTTCCCGTCATAACTTCTTGGACATCAAATATCCGTCAGTGTCAAAAAGTCATTGTAGTTTAAGCTTAACTGTTACTGATTTTCTTAAAGTCATCTTGTTTGAAATGCCACCTATAAGCTGTAAAGTCAGAATAATATCGTTGGTAGAAGGTGGTACGTCTTACCGGCAAATTGCAGCACTCTTAAGTAAGATTTTCTGTTCTTGATAATCTTTATAAATCGTCACACTTTGTGAAGGATTATCAAAGCAAAACGAAAAATAAGGTTAGTAAGTACTAAGGGTCGGTTTACATTTATGACAAATGAGACATAGATGTCCAAAAAGTTATGACGGGAACTGTATTTAATGCGAGCTGAGAAAGCAAGGTATCATTAGATTTGGTGCAAGACGTCTAAAGTTAAAAATATAACCATTGGTTTGACATAATAGTGCAGTACTATCAGTCCAGATAATACAATAGGTGGCCAATATGTTTTGGGAGATACGAATTACATTAATACTTTTGAACCGTCAGTGCGATCTAAAATTAGTAACTTTTTTGTTATAGCCTATAAAGTTATCATCATGTAGCAGTATATACAATATATATATATATATACGTCAATAATAACTTTTGGCCTCGCGCCAGATTTAGGCAACAAGTAATGGGAGTATATGAAAACCACATCCTAGCCTCAAACCTGTCATATCAGTGTTCAAATTTGTATTTATGGTTGCATCATTTACAACAACCGAATGCTTGACACGTTGTAAAGTAGGTAAATATTTGGAGTTATAGTTTAAACTGTTTTCGAGTAAAAGAAAGAAAAAGTGGTATGAATCAGTTTATTCAGAAACAATTTTTTGGAATTAAAACAGCCACATAGAGGCTGAAGAAATTAAGATAATCAAAGAGAAAAGAAAACAACTTAAAACTAGGAAAGCTTACTTCGTAGTAAGTGCAATTATATTCTATGAACATTTAATACTACTATAAAACACCAAAGTAGATTATTCATATTTCTTATGAAGTTAGAGATTGCAATTATTAACAAAGTTGACAACGTATGGATAAAGTTAAATATATATCTTTTAGTCAAAAGAGGTGTCTGCATAATTTGTTACAGTGTGTTTGCAGGTATATTTGTACAATGCAGCAGCTGCTGCATTCACTATCCAAATGTAATGTATAAATAATGATTTGTCTGGTGTATGGTGCGGTCTTAAAATTAGGTATTTTTACTATATTTCAATTGGATAAATATTTTTACACATATTTGTAAATTCTCGTGCTTTGCCAGTTTTAGACGTTGGAATTTTAATTATTAGCGTATCGTTTTTGTCTTGAATGCCGTCATTATTTTTCAATTTATCCATTCCACATGCTCCTACAACTTCTAATAAAAAATAAACCTAAAACATAATGATTTATAGACAATGTGATTGACCTTGTTTGAGATCACCTTTAACATCGTGTACATTTAATCACGGGCTTCTGTTAAAAATTTTGGTAAGTCTTCTCTTGTAAATATATTTGATTTCTTGGCAATGTAACCTATATTTTTTGCTTGAAAACTTGGTGTACTTAGATATATCTATGCTGTTTTTTATTAACAGAGTTGACTTTAACTACGACTATGCAGCCCAAAGTGTTAAAGATTTCACAGAATTTGCTTTTTCAGCGAAATACTCGTATGCAATGAGGTGTTCTCCATATATTTTGCATGGTTGTTTCTGCGCAAAAAAAAAAAAATTCATACCGCTTTTCATAAACTGTGGCTGAGTTTTTAGGTAATAAATTTGATATATTATCTGCCAGTTTTTGCAAGTTCGGTCGAATGCATGTAAACTGCTTGTTATTATTGCTATCCATCTCTATTTTGCAATTGCTGCAGATCTTTCTGCAAGCAAAAATATTAAAAGTGCCGAAAAATAAGAGGTATGCTTCATACTTTCATTTAAAATGGGCATGTAAGCTAATAATCTGTTCTGTAATAATAATAAAAGCTTATTATAGGTTATGTAGATACAAGAAAATTGTTCAAATTCTTCCTTTCCGCATACTCCTACAACTTCGAATAAAAAATATACCTAAAACATTATGTTTTATAGACAATGTGATTGACCTTCTTTGAGATTACCTTTGACATTAGGTACATTAATCACGGGCCTCTGTTAAAAATTTTCGTAAGTTTTCTCTTGTAAATATATTTGATTTCTGGGAAACATAACCTATATTTTTTGCTTGAGAACTTGGTGTACTTAGATTATATCTATGCTGTTTTATATTAACAGAGTTGACTTTAACAACGACTATGTAGCCCAAAATGTTGATTTCACAGAATTTTCTTTTTCAGCGAAATACTCGTATGCAAAATGAGATATTCTCCATATAATGTTTTCCATGGTTGTTTCTGCACCGAACAAAAACTTATTACAGGTTATGTGGATACACATTGTTCGCTGCCATAGAATGTCGCTGCACTTCAAGAAATCCGCTGTTGCCATGCAAGGTTGCGACGTTGCGAGATTACGCGCAAATTTAGTTAATAAATTATATTTATAAAATTAATAAACCGGATGTGTTTCTAATAACTAATAAAAAGGGTTATCAAAGAGTATAGAATTACTGCTAAACCGAAAAACAATTTATAACCTTGTAAAATGTAATTGTGGAGGTAGATAATACTAATATGACAACACCGCATTTAATTTCTGTGCCGATTTTTGAACATAGAAAAAGCACATTACTGCGCGATTTCGAAAAAAGAAACATTACTATTTTTTAGCAGCTTTTAACCTCTCTTTTTATATTTCTCCAAGAAAGGCGTACATGTCAATTTTAAAATACCAGTTTAAGTTGGAGTAAGAAATTTACTTTTATGGTTGTGTGTACAGGCACTTCTACAATTAGCAGTACAAGTTTTTGTTAATCTCTTAAATTATTTTTCTACTTATGGAGCCAATCTGGATATTTGCTTAAGGGTGTGCTTTAAATTTTAGGAATTAATATCTTGGAACGTCATGCATCGTTTCCATACATTTTTGAGCTTCTGTTTTATTTTCTAATCACTTGGAATTTCATTTCCAAAAACAAAAATTGTACTTGAAATGATAGATATGAAGCTCATTATTCCGAAACATGTAATTATAAGATCAAATGTTACTATGCATGAAATGTATTATTTGATATAAAGTAACTTTTGATATCGCATTCTTTAGATTTTTTTCATGGGTACTTTACAGTTAATAGTATCACCATGAAATTGTTTCTTAGATTTGTTTTTCTTTCTTCCGGTATTTGAATCACAATTTGATAATCTTAAAACAACGACAATTAATTTAACTTTAGCTTGAGTTGTGAACCTGAAAGTTGTTTTGTATGAATTTGTGTGACAAAAGTGTACTAAAGATGAAAATAATTACTTATACTCTTTTATAATCATTAATTACATTTGTAGCAATTTTTGGCCTCTCGTATTTTATATTATTTTATCCAAGAAACAAGCGAAATTTGAAAAACCAGTTTAATATTTTAATGGAGCAGTAATTATGAACCCAAATGTTGCTATGGATAAAAACTATTATTTGATTTAAATTAACTTTTGGAATCACAGTCTTTGGATTTTTTTCGTAGATACTCCACAGTAAACAACATAATTATAAATATGTCCCTTTGATTTATTAATTTCTCAATCCGCCGATATTTGAAAGACGATTTGGTATTCTTAAAACAAGGGTTACTAATTTAATGTCCCCTTGGACTGTGAGCCTGAAAGTTGTTTTGTATGAATCCATATGGGGTCAAAGTGTACTAAAGATGAAAAGAATGACTTCGTTTATAGCAACTTTTGGCCTCTCGTGTTTAATATTTCTCCAAGAATGTTTTTAATTTTGTAAGATATTGGGCCAATAAAACAGACACAGACAACATTATTTGCAATTCTTCCAACCACCTATGGATTCATAAAATATCAACTTTTGCATCTTTAATTGAAATATTGTTCAATTCTAATCTAAACCATGAAAACTATAATAAAGAACTTCAGTCCATAAAACAAATTGCAATAAATAATGACTTTAAAGTAAAATTAATCCACAATCTAATTGACAAAATAAGATACAAAATTAAAAAAAAAACAATGTTGCTCGTTGTTCAAAACGGACCATGATACTAAGGAAGACATAGGTAGATATTATTTTCTGGATTTTATTGAAACATTATCTTACAAAATTAAAAACATACTAAATAGAGTGAATAAAAATGTTAATATTTCATTTATAAAAATTAATTCAACCAGAAATCAGTTACTGAACAACAAAGATAAAATTACTTAACTAGATAAAGCCGGAGTCTATCAATTACAATTTGAATGTTGAGATTGTGCCTTAAATTTTACGAATCCATATCGTGAAATAATACACCTCATGAATTTCACCGGCTTGTGTTGAAATTTCGGGTTTCCAATTTTAAATTTATTAATCTAGTACTTCGTTCCAAAAACAAAATTGTGCCCGGAATGATGGGTTAATTACCTGTTTTCACATATACGAAGCGCACGAGTCCGAAAGTTACCTAACATGCAATTATGAGGCTAAATGTTGCTATGGATGAAAACTATTATTTGACTTAAAGTAACTTTTGGCATCACAGTCTTTAGATCTTTTTTCATAGGTATTTTACACTTAACAACATCATTATGAATTTATTTCTTAGATTTATTTCTCAATCCACCAATATTTGTCTTAACCTCATAGAAAATGTTTCGTCTTATGGAAAAAATCTGAATCTTTACACTTGGGGGTGTGCCTGAATATATAGCACCGAATATTGCCTCACATGAATTTTACTGCCTCGATTTGACCAAATTTTGGGTTTCCGATTTTAGATTTAATCATGTTCCTAGTATTTTAAGATATGTTAGCACATGAGTCCGAAATTATGAGGCCAAGAGTTTCTATGGATGAAAGCCATTA